TCAATATCTGCAACCTGTTTTTGCAATTCCCGGCAAACTGATTTCCAAGCATCTATAGTATTTTCACCTAAAAAGTCATGTTCTCCATCTGAGACAAAGCCTTCCGTTTCCACAAGAATTCTGTCTTCCTCCCCTCTAACACTGCCTTCTTCAAAAGAGATGAATTTGGTCACATTGGAGGAAGAAGCAAGAACCACCTCCTCCTCCACTCCCTTAGCACCCTCCCCCAAGGGGACTTTAATGTTATTACCACTCTGCTCACTCACCTCCTGATTCACCTCCACAACTTCCTTCTTTTGATTAGCATTTAAGTCCTCCCCTCCATCTTGATTAAATAAATCACCTTCGGATTGAGAGATTTGGTCACTCGAAGTGTTAACCTTATCCGAAACCTCCCCTTCCCCATTTGTTAGAATTGTGTCCTCCCCTTTTTCTGTGATCTGTAATACTGACAACTTTGCTTCGGGATTCAAAATCATCTCGTTCTTCTTTGATGTTTCTGGTTGTTCCTCCTCAATGATCTCCTTATTTTTCCCATGTTTTTTCCTCAAAACTTGGACCCATCGTTCTGGAACCTTTTGAGGATCATTCCCTTTCTCCTTTCTTACCAATTGAGCCGCCTGCTGCTGACCACCCTGCACTAACCGAGTCCTTGGAATACCACATTCTTCTTTTGCATGCCCAATCTTATTACATTTAACGCAGTAGTTAGGTAATTCTTCATATGAGACCGGCTGAATGATCTCTTTTGTACCATGCATAATGAGAACTTTAGAAGGGATCTCTTGGAGTAGATCTAGTTCAACGCAAACCTTAGCCGTGGAGGGTCGTGAAAGGTTTGCAGTTGCTGCATCAACTTTGAGCGGCTTCCCTATCATTCCCGCAATAGAGAAAAGAGCCCTCTTATCATGCAAATGTAAGGGCAATCCATCCAAAGTAATCCAGACCGGTACAACGGGGGACTCAATGTCCGGTCTAAATTCTGGGGTCCATCTTGTAACCTTCATTCTAAATCCACGGATAATCCAATATTGTCTCAACCAACATCGTTGAAAATCTTCCTCTGAACCAAATTTTAACAAAATATGACGTTGATCGAGTAGGCCTAGCGTGAGAGAACCTTTAAAGCATATCTTCTCGATCTCCTGCCTTAACGTTGTCATAGAGGGCCTCCCTCTAGAAAAGGATCCAACCAGTGCATACTTGTGCTGTTCCGCAAGCATTGATATTTCATCGTCGGAGAACTGAATCGCCGGCATGCCACGATGACGGAAAGGCGCTTTGAGCGGGATGTCCTTATTGGCCGCCAACACCTCTGCGAACGAGCGAACCGCCGCCCCCGACCCTCCGGCCGGGGCGGCCCAGGGAGATGATCCTAAATCTATATATATATATATATATATATATATATATATATATATATATATATATATATATATATATATATATATATATATATATATATATATATATATATATTTGGTTCAGGTGAGAAATGCATCTAATGTGAGAAATGAGAATGAATCTCAGCCATTGGATTTACGAAGTTGCACTAAACTTGGCTTTATGTTGCAGTAATATTTAAATTTTGCACATGTTGCACTAAAACTGTTTCATGTTGCACTAATATTTGACGGCGTTGCACCGAAATAGCTTCATGTTGCACTAGACACGTGTAATACGGATTTTTCAGAAGTATTTACAGAAATGCCACCGTGCTAGATTGCATATTTCAGTGCATCATGAAGTGTCTTTTACTGCAACTTAGTCGAATCTAATGGCTGAGATTTATTCTCATTTCTCACCCTAAGGGTTCTTCTCACTTGAACCTTACCCTATATATATATATATATATATATATATATATATATATATATATATATATATATATATATATATATATATATATAGAATAAAGATCAAATGAGAACAATGCTTAACGTGAGAACGTGAGAACACCACATTTACCTCAACGTGATGCACAATAAGGCTCGCCCAATGCACTATTTCATGTTAAGCATAATATTTACCAAAATGCCACCGTGATTATTTATATAAGCTTGATTCCAGAAAAGTCAAAATGTGCACCGGACGAGCTCTATTGTGCATCACATTGGCTTAAATGTGAGTGTTCTCACGTTCTCACGTTAAGCACCGTTCTCATTGGAACCGCACCCTATATATATATATATATATATATATATATATATATATATATATATATATATATATAGGAAGCGGTTCCGGTAAGAACGAATCTTATGAGAGAAATGAGAACGAATTTGGACCGTTGGATTGAATTATGTGAAACTAAATTGTGCATTTGGTGTAACCGAAATGTACATTAGATGATATTGAAATGTGCAGAATAAACAGTACAAAAAATAACATTACATCGTATCTTTTATTGTGCACATTTTAGCTTCATCTATTGCACATTTCAAATTCACTTAATGCACAATTTAGCTTCACATAATGACACTACATTGTACCTTTTGTGCTGCACATTTCAATTTCACCTAATACACATTACAGCTTCATCTAATGCACATTGAATTTCACATAAAGCGAATCTAACGGTCCAGATTTATTCTTATTTTTCTCATAAGATCATGTTTTTATTTGAACCAAAACATATATATATATATATATATATATATATATATATATATATATATATATATATATATATATATATAGGGTGCGGTTCCAGTGAGAACGATGCTTAACGTGAGAACGTGAGAACACTCACAATTAACCCAGCGTGATACACAATTGAGCCCGTCAGGTGCACATTTGGGTTTAGCTCAAAATAAGCCTATATAAATAATGACGGTGGCATTTTAGTAAATACTGTGCCGAACGCGAAAATGTGCATTGGGCGAGCCTCATTGTGCATCACATTTGGGTAAATGTGGTGTTCTCACGTTCTCACGTTAAGGGTTGTTCTCATTTGATCCTAAATCTATATATATATATATATATATATATATATATATATATATATATATATATAAACTGCGCAATTAACTTCCAAAAATCATTTGATTGCCTTCCCGATTGAATTTTTAGCTCAAATTTGGTATGGATAAACTAAACTTCATGAAAAACATTCTCAAAAAAATTTATCAAAAAATTAAACAGGGAAGGGCCCCAAATGGAGACGGCCGGACGGCGGGTCCTGTCCCTCCGGCTGGACAGGATCAGGCCTCTATATATATACATAGGAAGCGGTTCCGGTAAGAACGAATCTTATGAGAGAAATGAGAACGAATCTGGACCGTTGGATTGAATTATGTGAAACTAAATTGTGCATTTGGTGTAACCGAAATGTGCATTAGATGATATTGAAATGTGCAGAATAAACAATACAAAAATAACATTACATCGTATCTTTTATTATGCACATTTTAGTTTCATCTATTGCACGTTTCAAATTCACCTAATGCACAATTTAGCTTCACATAATGACACTACATTTTACCTTTTGTGCTGCACATTTCAATTTCACCTAATACACATTACAGCTTCATCTAATGCACATTGAATTTCACATAAAGCGAATCTAACGGTCCAGGTTCATTCTTATTTTTCTCATAAGATCATGTTTTTATTTGAACCAAAACATATATATTTATATATATATATATACATACATACATACATATATATATATATATATGTGTGTGTGTGTGTGTGTGTGTGTGGAAATGTTCAGGTCCCCACGTTCGGACAGGAGCCTCCGTCCGAACATGGCCATTTGGGGACCTTCCCGGTGGAATTTTTTGATGAAATTTTTTGAGCATGTTCCTCACTAAGTCTAGTTTATCCATACCAAATTTCAGCTCAAAATTCGACCGGGAAGGCATTCAAATCATTTTTTGAAGTTGACTGCGTTTTTATATGTATATTTTGGCGCAGTCAACTTTAAAAAAATGATTCGACTGCCTTCCCGATCGAATTTTGAGCTGAAATTTGGTATGGACAAACTAGACTTGGTGAGGAACTTGCTCAAAAGATTTCATCAAAAAGTTCCACCGGGAAGTGTCCCAAATGACCATGTTCGGACACTATTCGGACAGAAATTTGCTGGACAGGATCACTTCTATATATATATATAGGGTGCGGTTCCAGTGAGAACGATGCTTAACGTGAGAACGTGAGAACACTCACAATTAACCCAGCGTGATACACAATTGAGCCCGTCAGGTGCACATTTGGGTTTAGCTCAAAATAAGCCTATATAAATAATGACGGTGGCATTTTAGTAAATACTGTGCCGAACGCGAAAATGTGCATTGGGCGAGCCTCATTGTGCATCACATTTGGGTAAATGTGGTGTTCTCACGTTCTCACGTTAAGGGTTGTTCTCATTTGATCCTAAATCTATATATATATATATATATATATATATATATATATATATGTATAGGGATGGACCCGGTTCGGGCCGGGCCGGTTCGGGCCTTGAACCGGCCGGGCCTCGGTTCAAGGTTTGGGAGGCCCGGAACCGGCCCGGGTAACCCCGGGTCCGGTTCGGGCCGGGCCGCCCGCCCGGTTCACGGGCCGGGCCCGGTTCAGGCCGGTCCTTTTAATTTTTTTTTATTTATATATTATATTATTATAATAATTGTTATTAAAAACAAAATTCAAGTGCATTTATTTGAAATAGGAAGTACATTTGAGAATTGAGGAAAATGTTTTACATATTGTGTATAATTTACTTAGAAAAGTGATTTGATTTAGAAAAGTGTAAGGAAAGTGATATGATTTAGAAAATTATACATATTGTGTAAGGAAAATGTTTTTAATTTTTTAATTAAGTAAAACTATTTTTACTTAGAAAAGTGATTTGATTTATAATTTACAAATGTTACAAAATAGGTGTATAAGTTGTAAGTTGTAAGTTTGTAACAAATTAATTAATTTACATATTAATATTACATATTTTAATTTAAAAACAGCCTTTACATTTTACAAAAAAAAAATTCAAGTTGTAAGTTATAAGTTTGTAACCAATTAATTAATTTGAGAAGTGCTACATATGAAGTACAAGTTTACAAATTAATTTTATTGAATTGAATTATTGAATTGATGTACACAATAATATAAAATAATTCAAGTATTTTTATTTCAAATAAGAAGTACAATTGAGAATTAGGATGCATTTAAGAAATGTAATACATTTTGAAATAAAAAATCAATCGGAATCTCCGCCTTCGGTGGTTGTTTCCTCCATAAAGTGGCGGGTGGGAGCGATGGTCATTTCTTGAGTTCTTCGTTTGGCCTTCAACCAATCATGGAAGCAAACTAGCGTCTCAAGAGAGCTCGGGCTCAACCTCGTTCTATAATCGGTTAGGACGTTGCCGGCCGCACTAAATTCTTGTTCCACGGCAACTGTTGATATCGGCATTGCTAGCACTTGCTTAGCCAGTTTTGATAAAACCGGGAACGTTCTTTCATTGTCCTTCCACCACTTAAGAACGTCAAAATCATCCCCAACTTCATAATCAACATTCAATGTTAGATAGATAGAAAGCTCGTTAACTGAGCTTTGTTCAGTAGCGGGAGTTGCTCTACTTTTTTTCATAAGAGAACCAAAGAGAAAACTCTCAAATAGGCCCTCGTACTTTGGTCAATTCCTCAATTAAGCCCGCGTACTTATTTATCACCCAATTAAACACCCGAACTCTTAAAAAGTGTTCAATTAAGCTAATTAGCAGGTAACCAACCAGTTTCCCGGTTAGCTACCGCGTGGCAGTCTACGTGGCGGACAGATGTCATTTTCCTTTTTTTTCCTTTTATTTCTTTTTCTCTTTTTTCTTTTCCCCTTCTTTCTTTCTTTCTTTTCGTTCTCTTCCTTCCCCGGTGGTAGGCCGTAGGCCTGCAACTTTTGTCTCCCTTTGTCTTTCCTTTCTCCCACTTCCTTCCTTCCCTACTTGCCTAGAATTTCCGGCCGTCCCTTTCTTTCTCGATAGCGTGTTCTTTGGCGGAGACAACGAGGGCGGAACAACAACGCATAGAATGGCGATTCGGGTCGGGTTGGAAGGGTTAGACGGAATGAAGCTGGACGGCGGCGTCCTCAACTTCCTGTTTTCTAGGGAAAGGATCCGATGGGCCAAGAAGGGGAAGTCGCGGTGGCAAGGGGTCACTCACAGAGCTGGACGACCCGTTTTTTAACTTAGCCGTGGACCCGGGATTCGGGAATATGGAGTGCAAGAAGATGAGATGGTGTAATTTAGGTTGAAATTTTCTGGCAACATTGAGGAAGACTCCGATTGGCAGTAGGTTCCACCGGTGGAGATCGACGGCGGCCACCACCTTCATCTCTACTCGATTTCCGGCGAGTTTGGTATGCTGTGATGCTCCTCCTTGTAGTCTAGCGTGACATTCTGGGACGAAGAGGAGGTAATTGTACAAGAAAGATGGTAGAAAGAAAGATGTCATTCATGAAAATGGTACGTAGTAGTTGGCAGATGAAGTCTTGCTTGCAGATGAACTACTGGTAGTTGGCAGTCCAGGAGAATGATGAATTAAGCAAGGGGAACTGGTGCGGTGGAAGTGTGGAACTACTCAGATGAAGTCTTGCTTGCAGTCATTATAGTCAACACATTCATGAAAACTAAAATAATTGCCATGTGTCTGCCACGTGGACTACCATGCGGGTAGCTAACCGGGAAACTGGCTGGTTACCTGCAAATTAGTTTAATTGAACACTTTTTAAGAGTTCAGGTGTTTAATTGGGTGATAAATAAGTATAAGGGCTTAATTGAGGAATTGGTCATAGTACGAGGGTCTATTTGAGAGTTTTCTCGAGAACCAAATGCAGATTTTAAAAGTGATTTTCCTTTAGATGAAGAAGATGTTCGCGGCATGGGAGGGGGTGCATTACCATATTGTGCATAAAATTCATTATACAATTGATGAAATAAATTACTAACCTCGTTGTATTCTTGTTTAGGGTCGATGGAATTATCATCGAACTCTTGAGTTGGAAAAAAACAATTATAATAGTAATCTATACAACTTGGCAACGCGGCAAGTCTATAACGAGGATCAAGAACAAATGCAATACCATATATATGCGGAACATGTGAATAATATTTTAAAAATTTTTGTTTCATGAAATCACAAAAATACTAACGTAAGCGGCATCGGAAAATTCTAAAAATGCGCCGGCGAGATTAACAGCTTCAACAAAAAATTCGTTTGCGGTAGGTTTATAAACATGACTAAAAGTTTGAGTTGCGTTATTAAAATATACCAAAACATTAACAATTTTTTCACAAGTGTCGATGTCAGCTGGGTTTATAATATAGTTACAAGTTTGTCTTAAAAAAGCAGGAAAATGATCTTTATATCTAATAAGTACTTGAATTAAGTTATAAGTACTATTCCAACGAATAGACAAATCTTTAGGAAAAGCACAATAATTGACACGTCTTTCCTTCAAATATTGCCGCCATTACATTTTTAGTGGAGTGTTAGCCCAAATCAATTTAATTCCCCCCTTCACTACACCTCCAAAGCATGTCCTAATGCCGCTAATCCATCTTGTACACACAAATTTAGAATATGACATGCACAACGTTGATGAAAAAACCTACCCATCAATGTAGAAGCACCACACAATTCACGCAATCTAGGTATAGCAGCAGTATTATTACTAGCATTATCAAAACCTACAGCAAACACTTTATCAAGCAAATTATACTCAATTAAAATACGCTCAATGAGAATATAAATATTATCAGCAGTATGACGATCATTGAATTCACGAAAAGCAAGAACATGTTTATGCATATTCCAATCATCATCAATATAATGTGCAGTAAGACCCAAATAATATAAATGATGATAAGTATCCTCCCATATATCGCTACAAATACTAACACGTCCATTAAAGTTTGCGAAAAATGTTTGTAAATTTTCTTTTTCGAAGTTATATTGCCTCATAATTTCTTTTTTAATCGTTTTGCGACTATAATTTCTAAATTGAGGATTTAAAGTGCCTTGAGCATAATCTCTTAAAGCAAGACTTTCGGAAAAAATATAGGGTAAATTTTCTTCAACAATTAAATGAGACATACCAGTCAAATGTTTTTTATCATCATAGGAGAAATTACCAAAGGGTTGAGAATTTGCAAACCTCGATATTTGTGTTTGCTTCCCCTTGCCCTTGTCTATTTTCGCATACTCCACAAGATGGGCGGACTTAAGATGCCTTGTGAGACTCCCGTATCCGCCAGAAGTTCCCAAGCTATACTCTTTGCTGCAATGATTGCAACTTGCGTACCATTTTTCGGTATTTTTGTCTTTCCTTTTTGTAAAATTGTTTTCAATAATAGGAGATTTAGATTTCTTACCAGTTTGGGTTGAACCGCCCTCGTCCTCCAAGTCTTGCTCATCATCCGGGGTGCCGTGAGTCCCGTCGCCCCCCGCGTCCTCCTCCGCATCGTCATCCTCGAGCTCCTCTTCATCAATGGTTGTCGGGATGGGTTGTTCTTGTGCAAAGCGTGGATCGTTTTGGGACAATAGGTTTTGTAGATGCTCGTCGGACATCATCATATCATCTCTCCGTTGGTAATCCGTTTCAAAATCATCTCGACTTTGAAAAGAAGACTCGGCCCGCGCTTTACCTTTGCCTTTGCGTGAATTAGGACGAGTCGACGCAATCTCCCTCTTGCGGTTGTGTTGGAGATTACCCACATCTACAGAATGTCTACCACGTTCCATCTTTAAAATTGAACAAATATTAAATGATATCAAATATTTTAAATGAGTACAATAGTAATAATAAAATGTGACTAAGAAAACTATTGCAAATTCGAACTAAAATATGAGTATACAAATCGAACTACTTCTAATTAATACTTTAATGAGAAATGTATCAATTAACTAAATATTAACTAGTTTGACTAATATAAATATGAGAAATGTAAAAATTAACTAGTTTTTTTTTTTACTTTAATGAGCAATGTACAAATTAACTAATATTAATATGAGAAATGTAACAATTAGGTAGTTTAACTAATATTATTATGACAAATTTAACAATTAACTACTTTAGGTAGTTTTTAAAATGACAAATGTAAAAATTTACTAGTTATTTTTACCTTAATGAGAAATGTATACTTTAACTAATATTAATATGACAAATGTAAAAATGTACTACTTTTTTTACTTTAATGAGAAATGTAGCAAGTAACTAATATTAATATGAAAAATGAACCAATTAAGTAGTTTAACTAATATTATTATGACAAATGTAAAACTTAACTAGTTTTTTTTTACTTTAATGAGCAATGTATGAAATAACTAATTTTAATATGACAAATGAAACAATTAAGTACTTTAACTAATTGAAATATGACAAATGTAAAAATATACTACTTTAACTATTTTTTTCTTTAAAGAGAAATGTAGAGAAATGTAGAGAAATGTAACAATTAACTAATTTAATAGATAAATTAGAAGTCTAACAATTAACTACTATTATAAGTAATATATAATATAATGTTTATAGTATATAATATATAAGTATATTACTATAAGATGAGTAATACACTTATACTTAATACTTTAATATATATATATATATATATATATAGAGTACTCTTCATGTCAGGCCGGCCTGACGGGCTGCCCCGTCCGGCCGAGCCCGTTTGGGCACCTTCCCGGTGGAATTTTTTGATGAAATTTTTTGAGCATGTTCCTCGTCAAGTCTAGTTTGTCCATACCAAATTTCAGCTCAAAATTCGATCGGGAAGGTCGTCAAATGATTTTTGCAAGTTAACTGGTCCGGAAAATACATATTCCGGACCAGTTAACTTGCAAAAATCATTTGACGATCTTCCCGATCGAATTTTGAGCTGAAATTTGGTATGGACAAACTAGACTTGACGAGGAACATGCTCAAAAAATTTCATCAAAAAATTCCACCGGGAAGGTGCCCAAACAGGCTCGGCCGGACGGGGCAGCCCGTCAGGCCGGCCTGACATGAACATTCCCTCTATATATATATATATATATATAAGTATATATTAACTAAATGTAATATGTAAATATAAGTAAATAACAATAGTATGGATAATAACTAAATATCAAGTGAATATGAATGTGTATAGTATATATACTTATATAGTATATATAATGTGTAAAGAATTATAATATGAATGTGTATAAGTATATATTTTTAAATAGATAATTAATACACAAGTAGATATAATAATTATATAAATTATATATATGTAGAAAGAATTTGGAGAAGATGAAGAATGAAGATGATTGAATATGAGAGATTTAGAGTAGAGAATTAGAGAGTAGGAAGAGTTGTAGAAGAAGAGATGTAAAAAATGTAGAGAAAATAGGAGTTTAAATAGATTTTTTTTATACCCCACCCCCACCCCCCCACCCCACCCCCTAACCCCCCAGACCCCCCCTCCTATGCTCCCAACGGCTATAGAGCCGTTTGGGAGCCTTCCCAACGGCTAGGAGGAGCCTCTTCAAATTAAAAAAAAAAAATTAAAAAGTTGGCCGTTGGAGGCCCGAACCGGGCCCGGGCCGGCCTGGCCGGTTCCCTAAAATGGAGGCCCGGGCCCGGACCGCTATACCACCGGGCCGGGTGGCCCGAACCGGTCAAGAACCGGGTGACCGGGCCGGTCCGGGCCCGCACAGTAGCGGGCCGGTCCGGTTCCGGGCCGGTTGGCCCGGCCCGAGTCCACCCCTATGTATGTATGCATGTATACACACACACAAATGTTCATGTCCGGAATTCCGGACAGGAACCGCCGTCCGGACGGCGGCATTTGGCCGCCTTCCCGGTGGCATTTTTTGATGAAATTTTTATGGCATGTTCTACATTATGTAAAGGCATCCTGCCTTTACATAATAGAGTTCTAATCTAACAGAAACTATAACATCTAATACTTCTATTCCTAATAGAAGTTCTAATCTAACAGTAACCTTAACCTCTAATACTTCTATTCCTAATAGGAAGTAATAAGTAAAATATAAAAATAGCATCATGATAATTCCCACTTCTAATTAAACTCTTCTAATTAAACTTCCTGCTGGTTCCATAAAATTGCATCTGTAACATGTTATTATGTTAATGAACAAAAGTTGATTCGACAATAAACATGAAAATTGCAGAACGTAAGCACACCCAATTTTAGATGTAACTCAGTTTATCAAACAAACACATGCACCAATAAATAATTTATTATCTCAGGATAGTACACAGTAAAAAAAATTACCCAGTAAAAAAATCAATTCCCACCAGCAATATCGAAGAACAGTGAAAGTCAAACAAGGGAATGAACAAGAAAACCAACCCTTATGAATCTCAAATACTTTTAGAGCCTTATCGTAGAAGGGAAAAAACACAAGACTCGCATATATAAAGTTCAGGTGCCTCTAATTTCTCTCTATCAGGCATCTCATTATCTACACCAACTAAACTACCACGCATGCATCAACTGATACAAACAATCCCGGGCTAACTACCATCACCATTATACCATGCAGCAGCATTAACATTGGGCGGTAACCAATGAAAGAACTTCAAACCAGCGGTGGGTCAATAAATGATCCACCTACCCGAGCAGATTGCTGAACAGACTGGGATTTGGAGTAGATGGTATCACTCCCATTTGCCTCACAAGAGCATCCTTCTCTATAACATCTCTACTCTTTGTTCCCTGGCTCGTCTCTCTTATGATGCTTCCTCCATGCTCATTTCTGTCATTATGCCAGCTTGAAGTTGTTGTCACATCTCCTTTTCTGAGATCATCAACAAGAAGATCTTCCAATTGCTTGAAAGGATCCAACGGCGGT